TTTAGTTTGATATTGGGTCTCGTCAGGGTTTCAATTATGACCAAGATAGTTATCGCTACAATGTTTGTACCTTTCATAAATTCTAAAATAAGCATAGCAGGGCTTATTAGTATGACTGTATGAGTAAACATTAGCCTGGCATAATTTTTAAGCCTTGCAGACAAGAGGAGCAAAAAGGATTAGAAGAAACATCTTGTATTATAAAATTTAAAATTCCGTCATAGCTGGATTTGATAATTCTCAATGGCTCATACTAGTCATACATATACATGGGACTTGGCAGCTTTGATAAGCATTGCAAGCAAAGAATCAAGTGTTTGTATGCTGGCGTGCATAGAGAGGGGCTTTGGGGGAGGTTAAATCTGTGTATAAGCAGCAATTAGACATTCTGATGGATATTTGCACAACTATCCTTAGGTTTCAACCAATTGTTGTTGTTGTTGTTTTTTTTTTTTTTTTTTTGAGTTACTGATCATCTCATATTGTCTTCTACTCAAATTACCTTTCCCTTCCACCTCAGTCTTTTACTAATGATAGGAATTGGTGTTTTACAGTTTTGCGGGAGTTTTTCAGTTATTTGCTACTGTGTAGTAAATTTTATTTTCATCCTGTATCATATTTGTTTTACGTATATCTGCTTTATGTGTTATGGTATATATTGTTTGTTTGTTGAATTACTGTTGTGTACTATATCATGCAGTTAATGGAGCAATATGGTAGTGTTTGGCATCATAGCCGTGTAAGGAGGTATCTCTCATCTGAAGACTTTACAAGTTCAGATTCTAAAGGAAAACCGTGGGCTGGCTTGCTGATGTTGCTGAGAAAATATCCAGAACATTTTGTCATCAATACGCGATCCAAGAACCGTGTAACATTGGAGTTTGTTTCTCTCGTGTCTCTTCTTTCCTGAGATTGTTTAGCATTAGGCAAATCCATGTGTATCCTAGTTAGATCCAAATTAGCTGGTTGGCTCATACATAAACCCTGTACGCGAAAGTTGATAGTGTTTGTGTTTGAACTGCTTTCGCTGCTTTGGCTATGTTTGAGAACTGAGAATCTAGCCTTTCATCACCTGCAGCATGACCACCAAGATACTTTGCTTAGTGTATAAAGAAGTTTCAGCAGGAAATGTTGATTGACAGAAGCAACTGCTTATGGTGGGATACAGTTTAAAAGTTACCAATTGGCTCTAATCAATTAATCAATTAAGATTGCTAATTTATCATCAACATGTAAACTTGTAGGTTGTGTTGAAGTAAAGCAATGCCCTTGGGTCGGGGCCTAAATTACGATCATTCTTATTTTGATTTAACTGGTTTTTTTTTTTTTTTCCTTCCGTCCCACTGTATTTCCTTCATTTAGATTTGGACCTGTATAATCCTGCTCAAAAGCAGGTATAGTTCATCTGCCATTATTCTTTTAGCATCCATTGAAAGTCGAAGCCTCATTGAAAGGTTGAAACATACTGTCTTCTCGTATGAGCGAGGAATGTTTACCTTTAAGTTTAATTTCAGCTTTAGGCCCTGTTCTTTTGAGCTGCTTTGCTGAAATTTATTCTGCTCTGTTCAAATTTGCTCTGTCCTGTTCTGCTCTATTCTGCTTAAAAATAATAATTAATATTTAATAATAATAATAATAATAATAACTAATATTTATAGATAATAATTATTAATATTTAATAACAATAATAATTAATATTTTTTATAATAATAATAATAATAATAAAAAATATTTTATAATAATAATAATAATAATAAATATATAATATTAATTGATAATAATAACTAATATTTAACGATAATAATTAATATTTTATATTATTTTACACATTTTCTAATGTAATAAAAAGAGTAAAAAAATCTTAAAAAATCAAATAATAATAATAATAAAATAATGCGATAATAATAATAATAATAATAATAATAATAATAATAATAATAATAATAATAATAATAATAATAATTTGCTATACCTAGAGGAGTGGGGGCCCAGATTGTATCTCGACTTCCCACTAATTTTTTTGTAGGTTGTATGACTTTGTCTTTTTTGAGATAATAATAATAATAATAATAATAATAATAATAATAATAATAATAATAATAATGAAATCTGCTCTACTCTGCTTTGTTCTGCTGAAATCTGCTCTGCCAGAAGCTCAAAAGAACAGGCCTTAGTGACTTCAATTTGCTTAAACGTCATATGAAATTCTCATTAAATCTGCATGAAAACCCCTTCAATATGATAAACATATAGTGGGGGATTTTAACTTTGTGAGGATTGGTGGTGTAAGAATTACCGAGTCCAAAACAAGATAATTTTTTTTTTTTTTTTTTTTTTTTTGAATGGTAATTCTTGTGTTTAGTGAAGGAGCTGCAAAGCGAAAACAAAAGTTGCTCAAATTAACCATGCCAATTATTTTAGTTGCTTAAGAATTGAAGGGTGGTATCATCAAATTGTTACAAAAACTATTATTTTCATGAAAATTATTATCATCACTTATGCAAGTCTTGCAAATTCTATGGTTTCCTATATCATCAATTCATATCTTTACTTATCATATAATTAGTGTCATTGAGGATTAGGGGTTAAACTAGTTTTATACCATTTTAACCTCTAATCCTCACTTGTTGTAATAACTTAAAGGTAAATATCGTTAATGACCTTAGTTGGTATTGTGTAAGGGTTTCTTATACTTATAGTAACTTAAGAGAATTATTTTCTCTTTTAATTTACATATACATTGATTTAGGAAGCTCAACTTTTAATTTTGGCCATTGAGTTTGGGGCTAATGATATAAAGTATTGAAATAGTCCACAAATGGTTAGACAAGCTGCTCCCTCGTAGACTCTGCTCCCTCCTCCCCCTTGCCATTTCAACGGCTTTAAGCTCGCCGGCAGCAGCTGACCTCCGTAGGTCGCCGGCGAGCTTTTCTTTTTGTTAAAGGGCAGCACAGAGTTTAGTTGGCTCCGATTTTTTCCCTCGAAGAATCTGTGGGTGGCCGCCGTCACTAGGTGCTCTTTAAGTTCATTGAATCTATCTCCCTTTGTTTGTTTCTCAGCCTGCATCTGTGTTGCTTGCTTGTGCAGTTTTAGCTCGTTGTAGTTTGGATCTTGCTGTTTTGGGTATTTTTAAGGTATGGGAGAATTTTTAAGTTTAGGACCTTTAATGTTGCATCACCTAGATGAGTTGGAGGAGGATGATACTGATGTTTGAGGAAACCAACAGTCCAGAAAGGGCTATCTTGTATGTGTCCGGCCTGAAGGAAGAGGCGAATTCCTTGTTCAAATTGAATGATTTTAGTTCTGCTTTTGTGCTTTACAATAAGGGTATCAAATTGCTTATGTGTTATAATTTGTGCCATTTGTAAAGATGCTCATATGCATGAGGTTAGTCTTAAGCTAAAAGAACTTGCTATTAACCTGCATTTGAATATTGCAGCTAGTGCAATTAAACTCAAAAAGTATAGTGTTGCTATTACTTCCTGTTCTCTAGTTTTGTAGTACAATAAAAGGAACGTGAAGGCCTTGTTTAGGAGAGGAGTAGCGTTAGAGAAGTTGGGATTTTTGGAGAAAGCGTTTGATGATTTCAAGTTAGCAATGGAGATAGAACCAAAAAACAAAGAAATAGTGAAGAAATTGAAAAGACCGGAACAAGTTAGCTTTGGGAAAAATCTTGATGGCAAGGAGTTAAGATTTGAGGAGAGAATGCACCCCCAACAGTGTGTTGATGAACAAAAAAGTCTACCCAATGAAAGAATGATGGACTATGGCAAAAAACTTGTAGAGTCCAAGGAAGAGAAGAATACGGAGGAGTGTTCTATTACTAAGCTGGCAGTCATGAGTCACATTCAAAGGGAGATGGAGACCCCTTGAATATTGATAAGTTGAAAAACTCGAAATCAAGGCCTTGTTCAAATCTTGGCCTTCCAGAAGCTAAGGTATCGTTTACCAATCAGAAAAAACCATCTTCATACTTGAGCATTGCCCCTGCAGATTTAGAAAAATTGAGGCAAGGGAAAGAGTTGTGGCTCTATCAACCACAGTTAATGTCTATGTTGAGGGTACGTACTCTCACTCCTAAAGACCATATCATGATGGAGGCCCCCATAAACATAGTTTGAGAGCAGCGGTCTCTCACTCGATACCCACTTCGAGTGTTACCCATGATGATGACACCAGTCCAAAAAAGTCGTCATCATCTGATGGAGAGGAGAATGCTTTTGTTAATGTGAAATTCAATTATGTTCATCTGCAACAAAAGGCTGAGTGTAACAAGGAATTGAAGGAGCGTTAAGTCCGTGACCTAGATATGAAAGACAACATCAGTGGGCCAGTTCTTAGGAAGGACAACATTTTTTCATCACCCAAGTTCAAGAGTAAGTCAAGGAGAAAAAGTTTTTGTGAAGCCATGGCCAACAATCCCAATTTGCAGAAGTGGAGAACCAGAGAAAGGGCTCGAAGAAGAAGAGTGTGCTTCTTAATGTAGCCTATTCTAACATTAAGTCCAGTTTTCATGCAGGTACGAAGAGGAAGGGTGGTATGGTAATGAATCTCTCCGAACATCCAAGGAAGAAGCTTAATAATAGTTCATGTATTTGTAATTCTAGTTCTAAGTGCAGTTGTATTCATTTTAAGACTACTCATAATTTAACTTGTAGCGCTAGAGAAAAGAAGTAGTCTTTGTTTTCCCGTTTGCTTACTACATTGTCATTAACAAAAAAAAAAACCCCTTATGTTACTTTACTGTTTCGTTCGTTGTAAACTAAGTTTAATTAATGTAATTTTAACTATTTTTAAAATTAAAAAAAAAATCTAAAAAACTAACAAATAATTGATACAAGATTTAGTGTGTGAAAATAATATTTGAGAAATGAAGAATCAAGGAAAATCAATACTTTTAAAACAGGCTTACTTAAAACCCTTATTAATTAAATGATCATATAAAGACCCGCCTTATTAATTTATTAGACGGATCTAACCCATGTTATAACTGTAGCGGGTCATGGCTTTTAAAAGGGCTCAAGGCCTCCATTCCTACCTCTCTCAGTTATTTCATTGAAGCGCGACTCTACGTTCTCCATTGAAGCGTTCTCCGCTGAATCTAATTCTGGTATCCCCCCATTGAAGCAGCTTCTAAGGTAAGCTGTTTGTTGTTGTTATCATCATATCAATTTCACAATCTAGGGTTTATATTTGATCTAATCTAATTTAGCTATCAGTGCTTTAAGTTTAGGGTTCGTAAATCTCAACTAATGGTTCTAAATTCTTAGATTATGAAACATCATAACCAAAAGAAAAGAAAATTATGAATATCCCTAAAATTATGAGATAATTGAATATGAAATTAGATCTCTTTTCCCTCCTGCCCTGCCTCAGGGACGGGCCTGATTCTATTTCTTACAGTTTTTAATTCTATGAATAATGGTAGCCTTGCTTACATGAAACTTGTTTTTCACGACCACCTAGTGATTTGTTTTCAGTTGTTTTGCCTGTCTGAGATTTATTTTTATTTTTTATGACATGTTCGTTGAGTAATTGTTAGAAGCTGCCAAATGATGAAATATACATACTGCGCAAGGGCTTTGAACTCATCTATTGATGAGGCTATGTAAAGAAAAATGACTATATTATCTGATGGCGGTGACAAATTTCCCAATTTTATGTCAAAAGGATGGTGATAAGAATTTGATCTGTATGAACTTATAACTGGGTGCTCTTTATTGATTCGTGTGATTTTATTCATGTAAGCTATTTATTATTTATTTGTCTACTCAGGTTAAGACTAGAAACTTGATGGGTGATTTGGGAGAATAGTCACTGTATCACTGCTTAAAGCATATTAAGATATCATTTGAAATTGGCTAATTGGACCCTTTAAATATGGATTTCTGTGCAATAATTTATTTCAAATGAGGACTTAACTAATATAAATAAAAACCTTTATTATGTTCACAACCTGAGCATTTGACATCAACAATATGATTATAAATGAAGAAGTTTAGAACATGGTTTGGAATTTGTGTTGATAGAAAATTTTGTTATATGGTCATTCAATTTGAATTTATGATTGCCACGAAGAGTTCATAAAGCATAAGTTCGGATTTGTATTGGTCAAAATTTTGAAGTTTTGATACCAAAGTTAACGCTGCGAGGCTTATTGTTTCTATGACAAATTTAGGTTTCTGTACTTCTGTTCAATTATAAGGATGAGGAGAGAATATTACCACTTTATAGCCTTAGAGTTACATCTTGAGTTGCCAAATGATGATATCTAAACATTGCGCATGGGCTTTGAGTTCATTTCTTAAAATGGCATGAAAATTTGTTAGAATCTGATGGCAGCAGTTTATTTGATTTTTGACAATAATTAGCGTCAAGCCATTATGTGGTTTATTTCCGACTATATCTTGTCCTATGTATTTTGGCTTGCTTATCTAGTTATCTTAATATGTCCTTTTCCCTCAGTCCTGTATCAACTTATGTGAATTCCTAGATTTATCGATTAGAATCAGCGACGGTTTTGCTTTGGGATCTCATGTGGGATTGTAATTTGTAAGAGGGTTGCTATTCTTTAGAACTTAACACAATCTGAGCTGCCAAATGATGATATCTGAACATTGCGCAAGGGCTTTGAGTTCATTTCTTAAAATGACTGTGAAAATTTGTTAGGATCTGATGGCAGCAGTTCATTAAGTTGTGTCCATATTTAAGCACCAAGTGGTTTATCTCTTACTGTGTCCCTTGGCTTGTCTTATGCACCGTGGCTTGCTTTGAATGACTTAATGCCTTATTATCCTGTATCCTTCTATATCAATCTTACTTACAAATTCCTTTATCTAATGAGGGGGGATCAACTACTAATATGACTGCCCTCCTCTCTCACAGTACATAGGATTTTTTACTATTGAATAAATTGTATTTAAAGGTTTTGTTTATCCTGTTGGCCATTGCTGCAATTCTTGATTAATGATTCTTAACTGATTTGTCATCTACTGAGTAAAATTAGCTACCAATTTGACTCCCCCCTCTTCTCCCTTTTGAAAAAAAGGACATAATAATGGTTTCATCTACTGAGTGAAATTAGCTCTGCATGGTGATTCATTTTCAGGACTCAGCATTTTCTTTTTAAATAAATGAAGCATATTGTGAAGATTTTGTCTATACTGGTGGCCATTGCTGCATTCTGGATTGGTCTCCTCCATACATCAATAGTTCCACAAAGCCAGACTTGGCTGGTGCGTCTCCGTATTTACCTGTTCTGTGTGGACTTTTTGTCTTTTATATGACTCTCCTTTGCTGTTTGCACTTTTACAAGATTAATACTTGTCTCAATTATCATTTCTTTCTGCTTTCCAGCTGCCTTTATACTTGATTATATCACTGGCATGCTATGGCCTATTGATGGTTGGCATCGGTTTGATGCGCTTTCCAACCTGCCCCCAAGAAGCAGTGTTGCTACAACAGGTATCTTTAAACCCCTCTTTTATTTTTTGTTTTCCTGATTCTGGCCTAAAAGTGAAGCTTTTCGTTCCTTATTTTGCATCTAAAAAGGACATGGGATGGGGGTAGAGACTAGAGAGGCAACTCTTGTATGAGAATTTCAAAGGGGACTGGAATTTTCTAAACTTAGGCCTCGTTTGGTTGAATGTGGGAAATGCAAATTCCTTGGAAATGTATATTCCCATGTAATTGGAATTCCTAGGAAATGCTAAATTGTGTTAGGTTAACCATGGGAAGTGGAAATTCCCATGGGAAATTCCACTTACCTAAGCCTCCCTAGGTAATTAAATACCCCCATTTTGTGGGAAGTGAAAATTCATGGGAATTTCTGCGTCCCATGATTTTGTCAACCAAACAACTCCAAAGAATTTCAATTCCTAGGAATTTCAACTTCTCATGTTTTTATTTATCAACCAAACGAGGCCTTAAAATTGCTGAAAGCAGACGCTCATTTTTCTTGCGTTTTATGAGAAAAGATATCTATTCTTTTTGTTGGAAATGCAATGGTGACTTTTATTTAAGTAGGAAATTAGGATCCGTTTGGTATCACTATGGTTTTCTATTTTTTTGGTTTTCAAAATCATTGATATGTCATTTGATGAATCAAAATTAGTCAAACTTATTAAAATCATGATAATAATGAAAACTAACAACAGAAAAGTGAAAACATGTGGTTTTTTGTTTCCAAAAAAATCAGAAAATTGAAAACAAAAAACGATGCCAAACAAGCCTTTAATAATTTGGTTGGATAGCAAGATATGAGGGATGCTTTTTATTTAACAGCTCTCCCCTTCTCCCAACCTTAACATCAAAATTCATCTCTTCCAAAATATCTAAATGCTGCATACTGTTGTCCGGCTTTGAAGTTATAGTATAGATCTAACCATGATTTTTTTTTTTTTACTACAAAACCTTTTCAATTCACTTAATAGGTACAGTTCCATTATACAGGAATTACTTGGAAACAAAAGTATAAACTGCCTTTGTTTTCTAGATGCTTCTTGATTACCGGATGCTCTCAGTATAGGTTGATCTTGCCACTGGTATGCACTTAGAATTTTTCCCAACAAGAGCTTCGCTTATAGAGGCAACCTTAGAAAAAAGTACTCCTAGGAATTATAGCTTTGTTCAAGATTTTGCATGAAATCAAATATTTAAATGTATGGGAAGTAACTAAAGGCTAGAAGAAGCGTAATGACAAAGTTTTCAGCAATAAGGATACTACTCATAATGTCATTATTATGAAAATGCTGCGGCTTGTTGAGGATTATACAAGTATTATAAGTAAGATGTCATTATTATGAAAACGCTGCAGCTTGGTGAGGATTATAACAAGTATAATAAGAAGATTTATGGGGGTGTTGTGAAGGGGAAGCGCAAGAACCCGGCTGTATGGGCAGCTCCTCCCAGTGGGCTGATCAAAGTCAATTGTGACGCATCTCTCAAGGATGGCAACTGGGTTGTTCTTGCTGCAGTGGCGAGGGATCACTTGGGTGCTGTAATATTTGCAAGCTCAAGATAGATGAGAGGTTGTTGGTCCCCTGAGATTGCTAAATGTGAAGCTATTTTTTTGCAGTTCGTTTGGCTCATAAATATGGCATTAAGGATCTTATTCTTGAATCTGACAACCGCATCATAATCTCACAATTTTTCAAGGGCTCTATCTTCCTTTCGGATTTAGATAATGTGCTTGAAGATGTTTTGGATGTCTGTTCTTCCTTTAACTTTATTTCTTGGTCCTATGTCAACCGTGAGGGCAACTTAGCTGCGCATCATTTAGCCTGTGTAGAGCCTTTAGCTTGTCAAGAATTGTGGATTAATAATTGTCCTAGTGAGATATATCCTTATGTACACATGGACAATTTGTACGCAAATTAATGGATGATAAATAAATAAAAAATAAAGGCTGGAAGGAATTTGGGTATTTCTAGCCTGTACTTTTAAAGTATGATGAGGAGAAGGATACTATGCCTATGGTGGTAGTTGAAGCATATCATGCATGTTATTATACTTGTTTTTATTGCTAGAAATTGCATATTCAAGTCTGTATTGAAGTATTGCATCTGCCAAAGTGCGAAGTCCCTATCTGATTATTATTTATTTTTTTATTTTTTATTTTTTTGTGTGTGTATGTGTGTGTATTTGCGGTTATTATAACTTAAGTTGCTGTCCCTTTTTTTTCTAGGATGTCATCGAAGCGAAGGACTTCTTGAGGCAAAAAGGAGTTGACATTGGTTCCGATTGATCAGTTTATGCAATCTCCGGCAATTTGGGAAAGTTTGATTTAAAAAAGGGTCTAGTTGCAGAATTAATACTAATTATAATTAGGCACAACCGCACAACCTTGATGAGAAACACGGACAATTTATTTATTTTGAATCCAAACTCGGACAAATCTGATTTGCTAGTTAAACTTGGTTTAGTGCTGTTTGTAATTTTTTAGCCTCTGGAACACTGATTCATTTTTTGTAGTCTTCTAAAACCCTTTTGAATTGGGTTTGTGTGTAAACAAATGTGTCGATCAACGATATTAATTTTGAAACAAATGGTGTATGTAACTTTTAGCTAAATCTTGATAATGATAGTTATGATACTGAACAAATTCTATATTGTGTCTATTAATTTTTTCATTTTTTTTGAGCAAATTCCATAGAAATGGCAGAAAATATCAAAATTTCTTAATTGCTTCGTTTTCTTTTATTACTTACTTTTCCATTCTATTGTGCACGTCACCAACCCTCCTTGTGTCTTGTTGGCATAATCATTTGCTTGGTTGCACAAGGACAAGGTTCAAGGGTTGGTAAGAAAAAGAAGGGATGTGAACCAAAAAAAATAAAAATAAATTATTGTACACATCAACATTTGCAAGTAAATGTGTAAATGCAAGTAACTGTGTTGGGTTCGGTAAGATCGTGGAAATCTAAATCGTATTTTGCTTAGGTCGGTTTCGATTGGGTGAGTCGAGTGACACCTCATACTTGCAAATATCAAATTTTTATACAAGTTGAAGATAAAACGCTAATTGAATTAGTAATTATTGGGTTCAACCAATAATTCAATTTTAAACAATGACAATGCAACAACGAACCTAGTAATTGAAATAGCAATATATTGAGTAAAACCAATAATTCAATTCTAACTAATCATAGTAAGACACATGTCTAATTTAACAAGTTAATGATCTTTTTTTTCTTTTTGTAGAACAAATATCTGTCAAAGGCCATTTTATTTTAAACTAATTGAAAATTTGTTTTATTTTTAGAATTTTAAAAGACCGTCCAAAAGTCATATTATTCCAATCCTGACATACCGCGGAATTCCAACGAGAACTAGTTTATATACCGCCGAAGCCGCAGTTTATTGCATCCTCAACATAAGCCTAAAGAAAGAGGCGAAGCAGCGGGAGAAGAGAGAGAAAGAAGCTCAAAATGATTATTCCTGTTCGCTGCTTCACCTGTGGCAAGGTTACGTCTTTCTCTTCCTGTCTTTGCGCCTTCTTCTTTTTCTAGGGTTTATCTGCTGGCCAATTTTTGATTTAGGGTTTTTCTTAAACCCTAATTTTTTTTAAAAAAAATTTTATTAATTTTGGGACTGAATGTTTTCCAGGTGATCGGAAATAAATGGGACACTTACCTTGACCTTCTTCAAGCTGATTACACTGAAGGGTATTTTTTCTACTTTTCTTCCCACTTTCTATTTTAATTGGGTTAATTTCTGCTTATACAGCTAGTATTTGGATTAGTTTTGAGTTTATTTTATGCAAATTTGTGTATGATTTTGAATGAGTTTTTGAGTTTCTGGTATTGGAGCTTCGCAATTCATATTTTGCATTGGTTGAATGTAGTTAGGTTAATTGTTCGACTAATTAAGCTTTTGTTGATGGAATTATGCATGTGAATGAATGTTACTTTTTTTGCTTTGTTGTTATAATTTAAACTTTGGCTCCAAAATCGAATCGGGGTGTGAACCGGATTGTCATAAAAATCTCGTTAGAATATAGGTATAGTGAAGCTGATTCCAGTTTTACTGGATAAGAGCTGAATCCCAAATTATGGGATGAAATACTTGTCAAGAACCTCCTTGCTTTTGACGAACTATTTTTTCCACTATTATATAGTATGACTATCTAATTTCTGCTCATTATCTTGTAAGTTTTGTTTGGGTGGTTGCGATTTTACCACTTTCAAATCATTCTTTCCTTGATTCTTCTGTCAGCAACCCCCTGTTTTCCAAATGTGCGTGTATTGCATGTTTTGGAGAGACCGAGGCTTGAAAATGTAATAATTGTTTAATGTATGCTAACATAGTCTTGTTGGTTTACCAAGTTAAGGTTCGCCTGCTTAGTTGCTTGTATGAGTATACTAAGAAGGCCTGGAAAATTGGAAGAGCCCAAAGAACATATTTATCTCTTTGTGTCTGTCTTGGGATCTTGGGGAGAGGTTAGCTTAGAGACATGGTTGTTGATATAATCATGTAGGCTTCATGTAGTCTTGTGATTTGACAATATCCTTGTATTGCCGTTCTGTTTCTTATACAAAATCCTGCATGATTTGAAGTTCCCGTAGAGGTTGAAACTCATAGTTCTTTAATAGTACAGAGTATTGGTTACAAATAACAGAGGTTGCTGACTGCATTGCATTTGCACAGGGATGCCCTTGATGCATTGGGGCTGGTCCGCTATTGTTGTAGGAGGATGCTCATGACCCATGTTGATTTGATTGAGAAGCTCTTGAACTACAACAGTAATTTTCTTATTTTCCCTTGCTCACACATGCATTTACACTTACGCACTCAGAGCACTTTCATGTATATATCTGCATACCATGTGGCATGTGCATTCTAAGGGCTTGGTTATATGCAGACGTAAACTCGCAAAGGAATCCAATGAAATATTTGGTTTGGACTTTTAAGTGTTCTAAATTTAATAACAATGAGTGGATCATAATTTATTGGTTTGTTGTCTTAGAGCATAAGAGTACTCCTTTTGGTTTAGTTGTGCAATTGTCTCTATCTGTAGTCTATTTGTATTGAGTTGTATAAGAGGTCATCTTATCCTCAATCTTCTCATTGACATGGATCTTAATTTTGATTGGCAATCTGCCTTACAGAAAATTTTAGACAAGGTGTTTGTTTGATGGTATGTGCTTGTTTGAAGCTAGAGTAGTGTAAAATCTAAACTTCTTTATGTGGAAATTGGAAACACATCTCCTATAATTGATGACACTATCAAATATTCTTTCCTGCTTCAAGTGTGCAAAAAAGACTCCAGAGTTAAGACTTGGCTTTGTTGTAGAAGATAATATCATTTTTCCATGACCTGATATGACCTCCTACCTTTGGTTGGGGCAAGTTTAAGCTGTTGGATACGGTGGCACAATACCCTATTTTGTTTCTGCCAGTCAACACCTGAGTATTAGTGTCACACTATCACTCAACCCATAGTCGTTTTATCTGTAATTTGTTTTAGGTAATATTTCATTTACAAGCTATCTAAACTGGATTGTTTCTTGCAGCTCTTGACAAGTCTGATACTAGCTGATCAAGCTTGTGGAGGCAGTGGTAGATGAAATGAAGAACGTTCATCTCTTTATAAATAGTAGTATCACAAGGTGAATTTGGTGGGTTAGAGTAGAGTTACAAGATTGTAATGATATGGTACTCGACTATGAATATTATCCTGGTCTGTTTTCATGAACTATTGCCCGTCTACTAAATTGAGAAAAGCTTGTCATGCTCTGTATTTTTCAAAATATTGATTTCCAACGACCTCACCCAAGTTGATGTTTCTCTTCTTTGTTTGGGTGGTGCAAATTCATCTATATTTATTCTTGTTAGTTTGTAGAACTCACAATAGACATTCCCTACCTCCAAAATCCTTCCTTTTACTTCATGTTACCCACCCTGCCATCAAACCCTAAATGCAGTAATGCTATACTCTTGGGAGTATTTTTGTTAACGAATTTCTGAACTATATGCACTCTTGGAGTTGGGATAATACCAAACCTTGATAACATGAGCAATCAATGAATTTGATTATAAGACTCGTAATTAGAGTTGGCAATCTTGGACACGATATGACAACACAATATGGATCCAACTCAAAGTTACCGAGAGAAACCTGAACTTGATATAATAACGAACATATATCAAACCAACTGATCATAAGTATTTTAAATGTATATGGTGAACAACCTGAAATCGATATAGAACCATACATGAACCCAACTTGTTTACCCATTTTGCTAGCTCTAGTCGAAAGTCATCGTAACTATGCAAGCCATACAGCTGCCCCCCTATTTTTTTGCAAGCGTAGCAATGTTATGATTTTCTCTACTACCTAAACCTCGGCATTAGAGGAAATTGAAATTTGCTGATTGTAATGAGAGCTTGAATGATGTCCAGATAGCTAGAATTAACTAGGTCACTACCACTATGAAATTTTTTCAAACCTGCAAAGGAGAACAACTTATGTTCTGGAAGTGCTTTCTTCACTCTCTATTACGTGAACAGATAGACAAAAGAAACACTTTTATTTCGAGTCTTAACCAATAAGGCAATAACCAACAATATACTGGCAAGCAACCCTTGGCCTTTCTTGACATAATTCCAATTTGACTCTTGGTGGTTTCAACGGGGACGAAGCTTGTAATCTTAAATTACCAGGGCCGAGTTTATTACTTTCTTGCATGTATCAATATATAATCTACGACATACATACCTAATCTAGTAATCTCCAATGAAATATTTGGGACCCTGAAATAGTCATTTGGTGCTTAAGATTAAAAGGCATTTTTTCGGTTTACTGATAGATACAGGTCAGGCTGAATTGGCTTATGCTCCAATAGGTTGGACCTTGGAAGATGCCTATGAAAATTTGTATCGAGTCAACGTACTTACGTACTAACTAATCCACATGTCAAATAGGGTCGAAATAGTTTGTGTTGTACTTCGTATTGAAAGATCACTAATAAAGTTGACCTTATATGGTGATGATTAGCTCTTTTTTTTTACTCCTACCATCATGACAATTAATATTCCTTGTCTTTAATTACTTATTCTATATTTTTATACTAGTATGTCCTCCGTTTCTAAAATATCGACATTGTCAAACTTGACACAAATGCTAATACATCAATTTGACCTCAGATATATATGATTAAATATTAGTAAAAAAAAATTAATATTATAAAACTTTATGTAAATATCTATGTACCATATATTTCATGATAAAATTTGTGTTTTATACAATCCTAAAAAACAAAGATTCAAAATAGTGAAAAAAGTCAAAGGTGTCGATTATAAGAGGTTTTCAGTCACTTGTTTCATCGTTTTATAAGGATCTTCCACTCAATTAGTCACTTAATCTACTTCGCTTTTTCTCTGTTTATTTTATTAACATTATTGCAAAAAATCAGCTACCAGAAAGTTGATGTACAAAAATTGGTAATTTATAGGAAGCCCTCAAATTTGCAAGGCGAAATCACAAATCTCAGTATCATCCTTGCATAGGGTGTTCATCCAGGTTTGTTCTCTTGTTCCTCCCTCTTTCTTTAAGCGTTGGATAGAAAAATTAACCTCATTTTTTGGGTTTGATTTTCGTTATTTGGATTTGGGGTTTTTCAGCTAGTTTAGTACGATTAGTTTTTCAAGATGCAATCTTTAGGTTTTGCACTCTTGATTTTGTTTTTTGATATTTGTATTACTTGGTTATGATATTGGAATCGTAAAAGTAATATGGTGCTGTATAAATATGATGCTTAATACTGGGTAATTGTAGCACTTAATTCCTCCTTTATTAGAGCTTTTATGTGGGTAATTTGCATTTTTGGACAATTATTCAGAAAAACCAAAAACTTGAATTAAAGGGAAAGTGTTTTACCCTTTGTTTGGCTTTATAGCTTATGCTGGTCCTTTTATGGTTGAGGGTGGAGGAGATGATTGATCCCATGAGGTAACACATAGAATAGAGGTGCACTGTGGAATTTGAGCCTAGTTGTGATTATTCGATGGGCTCGTTTTCGAGCAATGTTGGATATTTCATGTTAATATTTGTGTGTTTGATTGCTGTACCTGTACCCGGAGTTTTTTGTTCTGCAGAACTTGCTGAAAAGTTATTTTAGACATTGTTTTTGTACTTAATAGTTGAATAGGTGTCCGTTATATCTTGTGCTCCGCATTGTTGATGAAAACCTTCGTAATTCATTTGGCAGTGTGAATGGAAAATCAGTTGAAAGTCTCCCTTATGGCCCTATTGTTCATAATGGGATAGTTCTTGATATGGGTGGATGTGTGGTTTGATGTTGATGATAAGGCATCAAATTCTAAACTTTATTCTAGGGGTGAAGCTATCAAAGCATCCTAGATAATTAATACTCCCTCTTTTACAAGTAGTTTTGACACTGTCCCAATCCCTCTTGAGACTATATGGCATAGTTTTAAAGAAATATCCTTCACATTAGTTATGTCATTTTTAACAATTCACTATCACATAATTTAAGTAGTGGCCTTTTGGGAAATCTAATGATAAACCAATACCATATTAGGAATGGCGACAACTTTTTCCTAACATTCTCAAATAGTACCATAACTACTAAATTCTCAATGGAGTGGGTAGGTTTAAGTGCTTAGGTTGAAAGAACTAAAGAAGCAAAGCACCTAACGTCTCTACATGTTTTCTTGAACGGATCTTTCAAGATGTTTAAGTCAATCACCTTCAATCTTTTGTTAAGATCTCGCCAATCTTGAATTTTTAAGGATCTCCACCTCTTTGTTAGTTGCATTTCGGGATCTTAAGGCTCCATCACGTCATAATATATGCTGTGATTCTACAGATTTAATGCGAGTGTGTATGTTAGTGAGTGTGTTTTTTCTTTTTTGGGATAAAAGTTAAGCATTTTATTGAATATGGTGCTTAAAAACATATAATGTCTATATGGCCATAGGGGAAGGGGCCCATAGCCCAAGTAGACAAACCTGAAATGTTTTAAAATGGAGCCTAAATAATTTGCTTGCTATAGTCATGTAGTTGTCTCTGTTCCGTCGATGGTCTAATGGGTTGGTTTCCAGAAAGGGTGTTACATATTGCTTGTGCTTCAGTTGATTTGATCTGTTTGAGCAGTTAAGAGTTCACTTATATGTAGGAAATCACAATCTGGGTGTTTTATGGTGGATGCTGTTCATAAATTGTGATGGTATTATTAGTACATATTTTAAATGCAAACTAGTCTAGAGTACCGTTCTCTATTCATATTTAAATTGAATGAATGGTGAAGCCATATATGTTGCATTCCCACATATGATAAGAAATAGTAGTTTCATGTTTGCATACGATAAGAAATAGTAGTTTCATGTTTTAGATTTTGTATTACAAGCCTAAGTCAGGCTTCTGCATCATTTGACTACTATTTGGATCAATTAAAAATGAAGTTCAGGTAATAGAAATGTTGGTTTTAGAAAAAGCTCTCCATTTTCTTAATGCTTCATGTGCGCTTTAGGCCCAGTTTAGGGCATATCTCGTTCATTTAAGTGTTACCAAATTACTGAACTGGGTTCAAGTGTTGCATTTAAAGTTTCCTATCCCATTAATCTATACTCAGCTACCTAGTCCTTAGTAGTACTACTCCTGGTATGATTAATTTTGCAAACTGGATAGTAATTGATTAAGCACAGTAGCACACCTATGGAATACCCTGTTTTACCTCTCCACAGAAAATGAGTCTTCAGTGGTGTTGGGATGCTGTGATATCGATGTATACACAACTATGAAGCCTATTATATCTAACTGAGCAACGTGACTGATATCATCACCTACCTTAGCCTATGTAAAGAAAAAATGGTAAATGAAAGATAGAATTAGGAGCTTAGGATAGCACACATTCATAAATAAAAAGCAACATGACTGATTTTTTTTTTTTTTTTAATTATGATTATTATTATTGTATCCAAGTAATATAGGTAAGCTTCTAACAAATAAAAATAATGAAAGATAGAATTAGGAGTTTAAGATAGCACACATTTAAAAGTGTCATTGGAGCTCAGCAAAATTCTATATCCAGAGACTCAAGTATAGGGATTACAGTAACTCCAATGCTTTCACATTACATAAATTCTGTTAAAATATTTTTATTTGAGGGCCTGTTGAATGCCCTTCTTTTGTTTTCCCTACCTATTAAAAAGCATCAAAATTTGAAACAATTTTATGCTTATCAATGTATGTTTTATTTGTTCTGGCATTCATGTGTGGCTGCTATACTTTCCTCTCATAAGGTTTCTGCCTTGTAAGTTTAGGTGCCTTTTACCGTGGATATCAGTTTTCTAATCTAGATAGCAATCCCATGGCTGTTTCTCCACTGTCTGGATTTCATATAGCACCAAATCTTAATTCTGACATTTTTTTTTCTCCTTGTTGACAGATTTAAAGAAGGTATTGGAGTTAAAGTTAGGGCTCTGTTCTCTGCAAGACTTGCATACATTGCTTTTATAATTGAAGATTGTCAATTCTACATGTTAGCCTGCTTTATAGGAATGGATATGTTCCACAATACTGCTAGCAGACAGCTATCACAAATGTTTTTAGCAATTTTCTTCTTTCACACTTCTGAATATTTTCTAGCCATCACTATTCATGGGAAAAGGAACGTGACCCTCAAGTCTCTCTTGATAAGCAAGCACTACATACTTGCCATGCTTTTCTCACTGGTAGAATATTTGGTCGAATATTCATTCTTTCCTAGGTTAAAGGAATTTTGGTGGTTAAGCAACTTGGGTCTTGTGTTGGTTGTGATTGGTGAAATCATACGCAAAATGGCAATATTGACAGCTGGAAGGTCCTTCACACACCTCATCAAAATACAGCATGAAGAGCATCATAAACTGATAACCCATGGTATCTATCGTTTCGTACGCCATCCTGGTTATACTGGCTTTCTTATTTGGTCAGTAGGTACTCAGATTATTCTCATTAACCCCATATCAACCATAGCATTTGCCTTAGTAGTTTGGCGTTTCTTTGCTGGACGGATACCATATGAAGAGAATTACTTGAGGCGCTTTTTTGGAAATGATTATGGACAATATGCCCAGAGGGTACCTTCAGGCATACCGTTTGTGAAATAGTCTAGAGTGGTTGCTGACATAACATGCATTCCCGAGCTGATGTGCAGCATGCTGACATTTGAGCGGCTTGATATGCTTCATATGCCGGACGGATACCATATGAAGAGAATTAAGCTTTTGACTTGATTCATTTTTCCACCTCCTGTTTGAACTGTTTAAAAGCATGGTCTTACTACTCAAGCCAAGGGTACATTCAGAATGTCACATAAGAGCATGCTGTAGAAACTGCTGAAAGTGGCAATCACGACTGTAGGATAGATGGTGTAGTTGCATTTGTAATCTGACTGTAGTCAATATTTTTACTCTAGCTATGTTGATAAAGTACTGTCTTGAAGCTGAAGTTGCATTTGCTGCTGTATGAATCTTCATATCCAGCTCTTTGTTAACAATTAATACAGTGAGTTAGTGATAACTGAAGCAGAAAGCAGTCTCTGCATCTGTTTGTGCCGGTCTGCTCTAAAATAGATTAATTACATTTATTTGATTTTTTTTTTCGCGCTGATTTTGGATGTTTAACTGCTTTTTCATAATTGCTAATTCGAGTGAAACAAACTAAAGAACCCATTGCAAAACACATTCTAATCTACCCCCTATGTGATCCTTGTTTTCTCTGCGGGCGTTCTCATCTGTTTGCTTTTGCCCATCACCCCTCTTTGCTCTCCATTTCCAGGGAGAAGAAATGGCATGAAAAAAATAAAGTATATGCTGTTAGAGACTTAGAGCCAAAAGTTCGACACCTGCTGAAAGCCTGAAATTGTAATTGAATATCAATTCTGAATATATGGAACAACTACTAACTGTGTGAGGTGAGCTAGATACATTTGAATCAACAAAAATGCTAATAAATCTGATGTAAATCTATCACTGTATAGAATCGCTAAACTAAATCTATGCATCACTATCTGCTTGGCAGCAGAGGTAAGTTCTATATCTCCCAGCCTTGCTAAATCGAGAGTAATTTTCGACAAATGCTTAGCCACGAATTCTACAAAAAAAACATTTAGGAGTCTAGATTTGCATCATCAGAGGCTGAGGATCCCTCTGCTCCTTGTTCACCTTCAACAGAGTTTTGAAATGAAGGTGCTGCTTTTCCGGTGACCCGCCCTCTTCTAGTTTCTGAAACATTCATTTACACAGGTTATCAGAAACAGTAAAGACTTAAAAGTAGAAAAAGAAAGAACAACCAATTTTAAAACCCCAAATCATGAAGGTAGTTACTTTTGTTAGTTATAGCAGTGCGTGTCATCGCCAAAAATTCAGGCCATGTAAGCTTTCTAAGTTGTTGCTTCTCGCCTTCTGTGAGCTCGAAATTGGGCTCTCTCCCACACATAAATGCAGCTCTGCACAGAAACAAGGATGCCTTAGTCTTTAAAATTGACACTTTAAAAGGAATTTTGTTGACACCCCAATTCATAAAGATGTTAACACGAGTAGTATTTACATTGTAAAGGCAACATGAAAGATAATGTAAAGATTAGAAAACACATAGATTTAGAAAATACGTAGGCGTTAATCACCTAACAATTCATGGCCATTAAATATTGCAAGTAAGTAAGTTGTGGTGGGCCAAATGAGGGTGTATTTTGTTGGGTTAGCATGGCTCAAATTCTATAAGTTCAATTAATTATGTCTCGAGGTATTTAAAATTTCTAGAAAATTCTCGTATATTGAGAAATTGATAGAGAATTGTAGAATAATTTAAAATTGGCGAATAGTCATAAAGATTCTAAATTTATATGGCAATCTATATAGCATGTAGAATTTTCCACACACTTCTTCCTCCTCTATACATCACCTATAAATAGTGGTGTTGGGCATTATTTGTGGCATGTATTCACCTACATATCCTCCAATACACCGATACATACTATACATGTAGATTTAGGAAATAAGTAGCCGTTAATCACCCAACAGTTCAAGTGGCTATTAAAATATAGGTAAGTTGTGTTGGGCCAAATGAGGGTACATTTTTAAAAATAAATCATCAAAAATGGAATAAAATGATACCTCATTCTATACATCACAAAAAATCCATATAAAAAATGCCATACTAGTACTTCTTTTTAAACAAAAGATCCCAATCATCCCATTATATACATTGCTTAAGATATGAAAACGCTATTACTCGAGTAATGAACTATTTGTCATCATCATTTATACGACAAATTCGACCTAAATTAGTGAGCATATATTTTCATTCATTTCTACTCCAGTATAGATATCAAAATGGAAGTTTATGAAAGCTTGTAGATGATTATGTACCATTTAGAAACCTAAAAAGCCACTAAGATTATATTTGTATTTTTATATGATCAATATATATATATATATATATGCACAAACCTGTCATATAAATGGGCAGCTTCTTCTTGTGATCTAACTGTCCCTAGATGAATTTGTATCTTATCAACCTTTATTGCTGCTTGCCACTTCTTATTCTTAAAGTAAACCCCTGTCATGGCACATTGTTCTTCACTATGTATTCGTCTTCTGCGGTGCTGCTTTCGTCGTTTCACTTCTATCTCTAGAAATAAGAATGCATTACAATGACAACCAACAAGATATCACTCTAACTACTCTTTATTCTTCTACAATTACATGTATCTTTTATGGATGTTATAGTTCTTTTATAGTAATCTTTTATGGATGTTATTATTTTTTTATAGTAAGCATGTAGAATGCAGACAAACCTATAGTAGGTTGAGTATCCAGCTCTTTTGACAAATTTGAACCTATAATACTTGGTTGAATATGCTGATCTTTGGAAGAGCCGAAATCATTAGCTGTTACCGGCTCCATTTCTTCCAATGGATCACTCCTCTGATAAAAAAAATTGCAACATACATATATTACACACAAATACACAATAAGATAAACGAGTTAGTCATATGTCATTATATAACTTACCTCCTCAATGCGTAAATTCATATCATTGAAAGTAATGGGATACACACTGCCAGAGTTTGAGCTGTATGTAGCATTTTCAGAGGCATTTTCGTCTTGTAACGTAGGGAATGGAGCAAGAAACGAATTCTCTGCGGTGCCTGCAGCAATGTCACACAATTTAGACTTGGTGTTAGTTGAAAGGCAACACAAACCAACTTATCAATACTCTTCATTGTGAAGTGTACGTGTGTCAAAAATTTGAAACCACATAAGTTCTATACAATCATACCAGTACAAAGTCCCAAGAGCCTGCGCCTTCGTAAGCTCACCATAGTTTATCTGTGTAAAGTAGAGCAGCAATATAAGTGAGAAATACCTTCAGCAATATAACAGGAATACACTATTAATTCAGAACATTGTCAGAATACAAGGCACAAATAGATGCCAAATTCAAAGCCATATTACGGCTCCAGCATATGCCTTTTCTTTTAATCACTTTTTTCCCCTTTTTCAAACAAAATCAGTTAGTTATTTAGTATGATATGTAACTAGAAGAGCAATTTTTGGACAAATTCGAGCTAAAGAATGATTTAACATATGAACCTTTACAGATGATCAGATTCATAGGGCCGCCAAATGTAAAAACAAGTACTCAAACTCAAACTCCCACAGAATAGGCAAAGTACAAGAGGAAAAGTACTCAACAGAATCAGAATTGATGTAAATTGTAAAGTAAATAAACCATTAATCACATCAAAATCGAGTCGAAACGAAGAAAGCAAGAAGGTTCCTATAGGTTTATTTTTCCATGAACAAAAATATTTCCACCTAAACAAGAAAAGTGGATTTCAAAGAAAAAGACAACCCCTTTTTTGATTTTATTCTAAGTCTTCTCCAAGTCAAGCTAGGCTAACCTACCACCTTTGTAACATTGAAAAAACAGAGAAACTAATACCAAAATTAGACCCCAAAAACACAATCAAATGCAGAGTATATGATCAAATCACACAAAAACTAAACAACTTGGTGATTACCCATTAAATTAATTAATGTAGTACTACACTAATGAACAAAAAAAAATTAGCAAACACTATATTATCCAAGAATACTTGACACAGAATATAATCATTAATCATCAAAAACATGTAAATAGATTAAAATAAACAAAAATCACATAAACATTAAACTAATTTACTCCATACCAGTCAAAGGATTAAGGGTTGTAGGGCAGTAGGGTTGTGAATTTTAAATTTTTTTTGTAATTAAGCGAATTACCAAAAAAATTGTGGAAGGTGGTAAAGGGTAATAAAGAGAGAAAAAATAGGTTGTTGAGGGTCGATCATGCAATCTACCACCTTCCACCCTATCTGCTATAAAAGATTTCTCCTTATCGTCGCGGCATTCGGGTTTATACTCTGTTTAAGGAAAGGAGGAGGAGGAGGAGGAGGAGGAAGGTGGTTCGGCGGTGGTGGTTGAGGAGGCGGAGAGAGAGAGGAGGCGCGCGCAAACACACGCACACAAACAATGTGTGAGAAAAGAGTGTGGTGCGGTGGGACTCTTTATTTTTACTGAATTGCTAAACATCGCCCGCGAATCTCCACATAAAGCCCACAAAATTAGAGTGAATTGTCACTTTTGCCCTCAAAGTAAAAAACACAATTTCTTCTCTCAATTCTCTACTTCCACTTTCTCTCTCTAAAAAACTTTCCGAGCGATGTCGAGGCGGCCCGGCAAGGAAGTGGCGGCACAGGCGGCGGGTGGACAGCGGTTTTCCGGCGAGAAGGTATTTTTTATTAATTTTGTGTTTAAAAATTAAAAAAAAAAGGTCGGAGGCGGTGGCGGCGCCTAGGCCAGACGCCACCACCACGGCGGCGGCGCCTAGGCCAGACGCCACCACCACGGCGGCGGCGCCTAGGCCAGACGCCGTGACGGTGGCGGTGGCGTCTGGCCCAGGCGCCAGAACCACGGCACCGGCGTCTGGCCTAGGCGCCGCCGCCGTGGTAGTGGCGTCTGGGCTAGACGCCGCCGCCACCGGCACGGCGTCTGGCCTAGGCGCCGCCGCCTTTTTATTTTTTTTTGGTTTTAAATTTGAAATTTAATTTTCGAAAATAATTATTTTTTTTTTGATTTTTTTTTAAATTTGTTTTTCTTTTTTTTAATTTTAAATTTTATGTTTCTGATTTTTTTTTTATTTTGTTTTAAATTTTGTTGGTTTTTTTTAAAAAAATTTTATGTTCCTCTTTTTTTTTTTTTTAATTTTTAATTTTATGTTCTTGTTTATTGTTCTTGTTTTTTTTTTTTTTGAATTAGTTTTTTTACTTAAAAAAAATTTTATGTTCCCTTTTTTTTTTTATAAATTTTTTTTAAAATTTTGATGTTCTTCTTTTTTTAAGTTTTTATAATTTTATATTTTTCACTTTGTTTTTTCCAATTTGTTTTTTTTGGGTAATTTTTTTTTTTGCTTTGTTTTTTCCAATTTTTTATTTATTTATTTATTAGGTTATTAATTTTTTTATTTTTAGGTTGTTAATATTTTGTAATGTTTTTAATTTATTTTCCATCATATGTATATTGTTTTATTTATTTATTTTAATTACTTTTTTTATGTTTATATTACATGTTTATATTGCATATTACATGTTTTGTTATTTTGTGTTAGGCATCGTATTTTCGTTCTGGGGCTGGGAAGAGTATGGACATTATGAGAAGTACGATGAACTCAATGGAGAGCTCGGGGCCCAGACACGTTAGATCCCGTGGTATTTCGGCCTCGGCTCGTAGAGAACGGGTGCACTATTCTGAGGATGATGAAGATGATGATGGTGATGAGGAGGAGGAGGAGGAGGATGCAGATGAGGATGTGGACGATCAGAGTGGACCATATGATGATTACGGTCCATTCAGTCAGAGGCTTGATGATGTGTATGAGACGCGTAGGGTAGACGTGCGTAAGGGTAGAGATGGTAGATTTGTTAGTAGATCTGGCACATCATCTGCGTCCACTGTGTCTGCGGTTAGCAGAAAACGGTCGAGGGCCGTTAATGATTCTTGGGTGGTGAGGGGCGAGGTGGCTGGGGGACCTATAGACGGGAGTGTGATTCCTAGCTTTCTAGGACACATCGCTACCCGTATTTGGGAGGACCAAGAGCGGGCTTTGGATAGCGGCATTTTGAAATGCCAAACCCGGGAGAGGACTTGTAACTTCTTGTGTAGTTGGGCTGAGGCTTGGCCGGAGGAGAGCGAGATGGTCGGCCGATTGAGGGCCACTAGAGTGAGCCACCTTCCTGCCACCATGCATGAGAGGATTGACTCGACGCTGATCACGGCTTTCGTTGAGCGATGGCAGCCGGACACGAACTCTTTCCACCTTCCGTTCGGTGAGATGACGATCATGTTGCATGACGTCGAGGCCATCCTTGGGATTCCCGTAGAGGGAAACCGAGCATCTGTTGTCACAGATGCGGATCAGGCAGATTTATTGGCGGAGCTGTTGGCGGTGGATAGGGCTGCGCTGTACACAGCGGCACTTGGTGTGTGGGATCACGGCGGTGTTAAGATCGCAGCAGTTTTGCAGCGATGTTTGCACCCCACTTCACGTAGGACGCAGGACACACAGCTGGCTGCATATGTTTTTCTTCTTCTCGGGTGTACCTTGTTTCCGGATAAGAGCGGAAACAAGCTCAGGCCACGCGACATAGTTGACGCGTGTGAGCCCGACAGAGTAGGCCAGTTTTCTTGGGGGTCGGCTACATTAGCGTACATGTATCGCCAGTTAGGATTCTCGAGCCGGGCTGATGCGGCAGGTATCACTGGATGTATGACGTTGTTACAGACGTGGATATACGAGTATTTCCCGGCGTTTCGACCACACCGCGACCCGGTTCCTATTGGGGATGGCCAGCCACGTGCCTGTGCGTGGAGTCCGCGTGTCGAGAAGAAGTCCATTGACCGCCTGCGATCGATACGGTTATTGCTTGACAGGATGTCCCCATTAGAGGTAAAGTGTTTAAATTATTTCTACTTTTATAGTTTGATGTGTTTATTGTATGAATCTTACTAATTTTAAAAAATGTGCAGGTGAACTGGATGCCTTTCGGCCAGAACCCTAGTAATAGGGTACCCAGGACCCTCTACACGGGACTGATTCAGTATCGTGAGATCGTAGAGGCGTACATGCCGCAGCGCTGTCTTCGCCAGCTTGGATATGTCCAAGTTGTTCCTCCTCCACCAGCATGGCCCAGTAAGGCCGTCCGATCTGCGTCGTTGAAGGAGTACGTCGTCCAATGGCCGGCAAGCATGATTGGCACGTGGGAGCAGTTTCCGATGGTTGCCCGCATATGGATTGAGCAGTTGCAGCGGCCGCCAACTGGGGTGGCTGCCATGTGTGACCAGCACTACATGGAGTGGTACAACCGGCACTCGCACCCGAGGTTGATCAGAGACGTCCACCACGGCGACGACGCCGATGATGATGATGTGCCACCGCCCACTGCCGTGGATGCGGTACGTCTCATAAAACATTTGTAGTTGTGTTTTTTTTCATATAATACGTCTCATAATACGTCGTTATTGAATTTTATGTGTTTTGTTATGTGTAGTGGATGGGAAAGATGACGCAGTTGGGACACAGACTTTTTGAGGAGAGGGACAACATGACGACTGCAACAGGCAGAGCTGTTATTGATGAACTGGAACGGGCCCTTGAGCAGTGGCAGTGGGCGTCACAGAGAGATTATTGATATGTCGGCAGTGCATTTATAAAACATTTTCCTAGTTGTTTGTAAAAGTTAACATTATCTGTTCTTATAATTATTATTTTAAGTTCTTAGAATTTGACATTATATTTTTAGTTTTTATAACTTTTATTTTAAGTTGTAATTAGTGGGCATACGAAAACTAAATACAGGTTCACATTTAAATGGGAAAACTAAATACGAAAATTAGAATCCGAAAATTAAATAAATGGGAAAAACATAGCAATAGCAATATTAGGTCACATAGAAAAGGCAACTAGATTGTTCCACTGCTGCACCCGGTCATGATATAACGCATCCCAGCCCTCTACGCTTGCTGTACGAATGGTGTACCACGTTGGTATAATCGGTGGGACCGGAAAATCGGGTGACAGGTCCAGTCGGATGAAATGTCTGTATGACGGCCCCAGAAATCCAATAGCAACCTCTCTTACCGGTCTGGTGACGGTCTCACGCGAACACCAAGGCAGAACCGTGGTACACGGATAGTAAGCTCGACCATGCAAACCAAGGCCGAAATGCATCACTGCACACTTGTAGATGTTTGCAACGGCGAAGAGATCAAGGGGCGCGTCGAACCAATGATTTTGACCGCAACGTCCTCCTCCCCACCGGATACGCTGCAGAGACCTATCCAAGTCCTGTCCGTACACGTGGCGATAAACAGCTCGGTTTGAGGCGATTTCACTGTACATCAACTGACGCACTAAACCGTAGTTGTCTTCACCCATCTGAAACACATCAGCCACAACCCGAAATCCACAGTTACCATCTGCAACCACATCATTCCACCCGTCCAGGAACGGCATCATGATGTTAGGGATCCTGTCTTTATATGGAAAATGTTCAATGTCCATTCTGCCTGTTGCACACATCAAAAAACACAATTAACAAGTTAGCAGAAAACTAAACAAACACTCTAAAAAGTAAATTAAACTAAAGTACCGTACCGGTGCCGGGCATATTCACCGACGAAGAAGTTTGACTACCACTTGATGACGATGTACGACCACGGCCACGACCACGACCACGACCACGACCACGAATGTACTCAAACGCACTCCTTTCCCGCCACTTACCATTTACCAATCTCTGCTGCCACTTACCATTTACCAATCTCTCTGCTGAATCTAAGTTCTTGTTGAAAAGGTTGTAGGCTTTGACTTTCACGCATTTGTTGATGTGCCATGTGCACAGTAAATGGCTCGACTCCGGAAACAGCTCCGCTATAGGGGCAAAGAGACCTCCCTCACAATCGCTGACGATGGCCGATGGCTGAACACTTGGGCCGATGTAATTTCTCAACTTCTCCAACACCCAACGGTAACTCGCAACCGTCTCATCCTTCATAACTGCATAACCAATCAAAAAGTTCTGGTTCGTTGGAGTCATCCCAACCATCTCAACCAGTGGAAACTTATACTTGTTTGTCTTGTACGTTGAATCGATCAGAATCACAGATGGCCAAGACGAAATCATATCAGCACAATCAGGATGCACAAGGAACAAATGAGTCACCTCCGATGTGTCTTCATCAGATTCAAACCAGTACAGGTAACCACGTGCTTGTGCCTGGTGTAGAAGCTGCTGTATAGGGTTCCTTCCCTCTGACCGTTCAAACCTCAATTTATGTCTGACGTTGTAGATGTGTCTTCGGTTTGGCTGGTCTTCAGGAAATTTCTCCAACACAGATGCTAATATTTTAGCAGGCTTCACTTGAGCATCACTCATTTCTTTTACAATTAGTTTCGCAGCAGGACTTAGGCCACTTAACTGTCGATGACCCACTTCATATGCGAT